GGGGGGGCTCTCCGAAGGCGGGAGGCCCACCCACTCGGCCGGCCACGCGTGTCCCCAGATTGGGCCCCCCGGTGCTCCAAGGACAGATCTTGTTAGCCAGTCTCGTGGGGCTCTCTTCTAAATTGTTTTGCTTTAAGTGCTTGGAAGGATGGGAAGGAAGTGGATTCTGTGGCACAACTTCGTGATGAAGGAACCTATCAGCTCCGTTACAACATACGATCCCGTGGAGAACCTTTCTCCAGAGAGCAACCTGACGCATTTATTTTTTGACATTTAGTGAGCGTTTGTTCATACAGGGCAGTGTACCAATGCAGGACTTCTTGGCTTTTCCTTCTCTGGAAGTTTACACCTTAGGAGTAAATGAGATAAGTCTGCACAAAAAAGACACAGGTGCGCGCGCGCGCACACACACACACACACACATACATACAGGTGTTTGTTTTTTAATCAGAAAACAGATATGATCTTGCTGTGCAAGCTTTTAAATTTCAAGAGGATTCAGAAGCCAAAAAGAGAGAAGGGGGGTAGGGAGGGAAGGAAAGAAGGAAGGAAGAAAGGAGGCGGGGGTATATTTCTCACTATGCTACTGTCAGTGGAAAGATCGCAACGCTGCAAAGAGGCCAGGGAGGCTGCCCAGCCTCAGGACGAAGGTACTTTCAGGAGTAAGTAGAGAAAAATTATGGGAGAATCCCAGGGAAGGACAATCAACAGGAGGAACTGAGGAAAAAGGAAAGAAAGAAAAAAAAAAAGCACAATAGGAAATGAAAATTTAACAACAGTAAAAGGGTGGAAATGACTTTGTTAATTCTATTTGGAGCAAGAGAACACACAAGGGAAGACAAACCTCTTCTTGGAGAAAATAGGTAATTTTAAGACAGAAATTTACATCTACAGATTCCTTTCTGAGTCTGTGTGTTCTCTTCTAGGTAGAACAGTCTTTAGGAGAGAAGGGACTAGACTTTGCTCAGGGAGGATTAATATCATAACAGGAAAGAAGGATAGTGAGGAAACATGTGGCTACATAAATTAAATCAAACATGCATGCTCAGGTGAATTACATGCCAAATACTGGCATGAAACTGATGTTAGTATAGCAGCCACCTTGTTTGGATAACTCTCAGATGGAAACACAATATTTGCCTTCACATATTTCCCTAATCTCCAAAGAAACTTTTAAACAATTTATGCCCATTTAATAAAGGAGAAGATAGAAATTTAAAGGACTATGTAAACTACCCATTATGTAGCTAGTAAGAGGATTATGAATTCAAATTTAATGTGTCTTTCCCATTATATAAAATTGCTATTTGCCTGTGTGAACGAGAGTACCTTTGATAATACTTGGTAAATCCATAAACAGCAGACTAGGGGCCAGAAAAATGGGCATATGGATATAACCAACTTTTTAAAGTGGATTCTGCTGTCTGCACAGTGATTAAGTTTGAGGTGGATCCCTGGCAGTGTTCTGCAGGTCATGAATGAGTTCTCTGGCAGGAGGCAGGAAAGAACAGGCAACGACAGTGTGGAAGACGCGTCTTACTAGGCTCACTTCATTTCTCTCTGCAAGTAGCCATTAAACTCACACATGTGGCACTTCTGATTCCAGCCAACCTCCCTGTTATCTTTATGAACAAGGTAAACGTAAACTTTGGTTAATACTGAGTAAATGAAAAACTAACAGCTTGGACAGATTGCCCCAAACGCCCTAGTAAGTAGGCTCTTGCTAGATCAGAGCGAGGTGTGTGACTCTGAGCTTTCCTGCCCTACTGCTCAGCAGAGGCGGCAAATCATACCTGATAGAAACAGATCAAAGGGGTACTTACTGGATTTGAGGGTGAACCAAAAGAGGAGCAGAGCTAATTCACAAGCTGCCAAAATCAGGACCCAATACGTAGTTTACTTTGGATGTTGACCTAAAACAAAGGAGATAAACTAGAACTAATTTTGAAATCCTGCATTTTAGGTTTGTTTTTTTGAAAATAGGATAAGCATTGGACTTATTCATGTATTCGATTACTCGACAAGATGCTGGCTATGGCAAGACAGAGCTGATAGCATTCTTGTCCTTCTACCATAAAGTAACCACAAAACCTGGACAAGATAGGTGACGCTGCACTAACCACAGCCCACACGGGCTTCCGTGTTTGAGTTAGAGCAGGCGTGTGAGGAGCCCACGCACCACTCGCACAGATGTGCTTCTGGGGGCTGCTCTTCCAGCAGAAGTATGGGGAGGCCGAGGCCAGGCAAGGAGTCTCACCCGGCAGAGGGCATACAGCTCGAGGGCTCGGAGCTGCAAAGGCAACTGTTTGGGAGGAGGTGGGGGGACCCAGCTGGCAGAGAGAGGAAGCCCCACAAGTCTCCGTGGACATTCCTTGGGCTCCCCGGCTGAATGCCTGTGCTGTGTGGTCCCAGGGGCACGGTTCTGGAGGCCTGACAGAGGAGAGTGGTGAGCAGTGGAAGCCTGGTTACAGATCCTGAAAATCACACCATTCTGGGGAGATATTTAAGTTGGAACCTAGCCAGAGTGGACTTTGGGGAACAGCTGAGACATTTGGTTAAGACCCCCTTCGCTCTGGAAGGAGACTTTCTAGGTGTATGAATAATGTCCTAAGAGGACAAATAAAACCAAAATAGATTTTCCCTGGTGAAGCTAAAACTAGCCACAAAGAAGATGGCCCAGCAATGATTTAACAACCTGCTGCAGCACAGCTTGACATTCAGGAAAGAAAACCCAAGCTTGAACTCGTATAGCTGCAGCCTGCAATAAAACTCACCAGACACCCAAAGAAGAAGAGAAGAGTATTTGATGAAAAAATAATAATCACATGCTTAATAGAGACCAAGAGATGATCTAGATTTTGGAATTAATAGTCATGGACTTTTAAAAAGCCATAAATAACATAGTAAATAAACTACCCTGGAAATGGGATAAATGAATAAAAAGAATTTCAGCAGATTATCACATTTTATAAAAAGAATTAAGTGAGCTTTTTGGACTCCTGTTTCAAGAGCTAATTAGATGTATTTAAAAGGCACTTGGACACAACAGAAGATAGCAGATAGGACCAATGGTCTCAAGTCAAGTCAACAGAGAACATCCAGAAAGGAGAGCAAGGCCAAAGAAGAAGAAATACTTAAAGAACTAATGCAAGAGAACTTTCTGTATCTGATGAACAGTGTCAACCCAGAAATTTAAGAAGCTCAATAAACCCGAAGTAAAGAAAACCTCGACAAGGTCCATGAGATTCAAGTTGTTGAAAAACCAAAGATAGAAAGAAAATATTAATACCAGCCAGGAGGAAAAACAGTACCACCTCAGGAGGAACAATGTGAATTACCCCTGACTTCCCCAGAAAATGATGGAGGTCAGAAGATGACAGACATGTTTAAGGTCCTGAAAGAGACCAGAAACCTGTCAAACTAGAATTCTGTGCCCATGAAAATAATCTAAAGTTGAAGGTGGCAAAAGATACACTCAGACATGCCAAAGCTGAGAGAATCCATTGTCAGCTGACCATAAACCACAAGACCTATCGAGGGCTGTTCTTCAAGGTGAGGGAACGTGATCTCGGACTGAACCACAGAAGTGCAAGTAGGAATAAACAGCTCCAGAAAAGATAAATGCATGAGAAGACAGAAAGGCTCCTAACTATCTAAAGCATAAATAATGGGAACATTTTGTGGGGCTTAAAATGTCTACTGAAGCCACACATGTAGAAACAGTAACACTGGAGTGTTAACACTGGAGTGGAAAGATTCAATGCACTATTCTTGCATTTGGTAATGATTTAAGGTAAAGAGGATTAAGGACGATTCTTTCTTCGTGTAACCTAAGGGAGACTGATATGTATGGGCATAAAAAAGAAGGCAATAGAAAAGATCGAATTGAATTGTAAGCCATACCTGACTGCTGTGAAAGACAGTAGGAGAGGAAGAATTAATAAATAAAGAACAGGGCAAGTGAAGAACAACAGCAAGACGGAAAACGTAAAACCCAGCTGTATCACGTCAAATGTAATCACGTCAAATGTAATCACGTCAAATGGCCTTTACAGAGCAATTTTTTTTAAAGCAAATGTTTCCAGAATGGATTAAAAAAAAAAACTGGACTACCTGTTGTTTGCAAAAACATACTTTAAATGTAAGACTATAGAAAGGTTGGAAATAAAAAAGATGGAACAGGTTCCGCCAGCAAACATTGAGCACTGCAGGGTGCTGGGTCTCTCCGGTCTACAGCTGTGGCGGGACCCCAGGCGAAGTCCGTGCGCTGCACGTGTGTATAAACTAACGGGCAGCTTAACATTTTTTTGGTAAATGCAGGGAAATAGAGGCGCTAGAACAATACTGAGGACTTTAAACATTGGGCTGTTAGACTTCCTACCAGATTTATTATAAAGCTACCGTAATTAGGACATCGTGGTGTTGGCAGAAGGAAGAGACAACACAGCGATGCAGAGTCTCAGGTTCACGCGAAGAGGCAGCGGACGCAGAACGGCCGAAACGCGCTGACGGAGGCGGCGAGGCTGAAGACTAGACATCGCCCGGCTCCGGACAGACGGCAAAGCTGCGTCGCCAAGTCGCCGTGGGCGCTGTGCGCGGAGAGGAAGAG